CAGTCATCCCGTAGGATGAGTCATCAATGGGAGCTGTCCATCCACTGGTTTCGTACGACTGGTGCCGTGGATCAGTGCCGTAGACGGCACTCGAGTGCCGTATACGGCACCTAGTATGAATGCGGCCATTCACTTGTGATGGGTTGCTGAGTTGTATGTGGCTCCTATTGGGGGCAAAAAATGAAATCCGACCTTTTCACAAAAGTTTCGGTCCGTGTCTAAGACGGTTTCCTCCATCTAATCCTTCTATGCCTTCATTTCGATCAGATCTATATTTCACTCGAAAATTCGATTTTTATAGATAAAGATCTAGATCGTAATCCCGAGGGGTATATTTTCAGCTGAACCACAGAAAAAATTCCGTACAAAACTCTCAGTGATCCCCTCTAAGCTGAATTATCCTATAGCACGTCAAATCCTTACGTCACCACCGCCAAATTAAAAGCCCGAATGCATTATGTTATTGATGTTCGCAGTCATCTTAGGCACGGTAAACTTTTCAAAATATTTTCTCACTTATCTATCTTATTTATCTTTATATTATATATTTATTTTATATCCTAGTTACCTTTTTTCATCTTTATTTATTTTCCTGGGAGATATTTATACATCAACACTTTATCTACCTCTTTCGATGTACCTGCTAATTATTGCCTAGTATTCTGAAGATTATGAAAAAATAAGGGAGAATCTACGTTTTCCTTATGTTTTCCTGTTTCCTGTCAAAGTTATGGACAATCTCTACATTTCCTTTATTTTAATTAATATACATATTATCACTTATTATTGTCCGCTCGAGTATTATTTCTTTAACGATCATACATTGTAAGGTAATAATCGGAGTATTCGTTGGAACCAACCACCAAAACAGTAGTTTCGGCTATGGCATTTTCTGAGCGTGAGTGGAAGGACAGTGATGGTGCGGTGCCAAGTGGCGCACTAGTCCACGCATATCAAGTCCGCGATCGAATCTCGGATCGACACTGGACTAGGCTGAGCAAGCCATCCAGCCTTCTTTGGTAATTTGAATGCTAGTGGATCCGTCCGAGGATAAGAGCAGTGACTTGCACATCGGCTGGAAACCGAGGTCATTGTATAGGTCACATATGCCTCTAACGCCATTACCACTTGATGGAGTTCGTGTGAATGGAGCATCCTGGTGATCGCCAAAAACTCTATCCTTCAACCTTCATCACATACATAATTATATAATATAACCTAGTGACACAATAATGTAATATAATATGATGATGAAAAATAGATTCAGTTAGTTCCAGATGCAAATACTGATAGAAGTCACCGACGGCCTACCAAATCGACAAGGTATGAAATAAAAAATTTTTTTACAAAAGCGAGTCGTTTTTCACAAATGATTGCTTAGAAATGTGACATAATCATCTTTTGTCTTGGTAGTTTCTTCTTATGAATTAGTTCGATGATTATTTATACCAACAAAAACTTAATTCAGATTACTATGTGCTTGCAGAGCCCATTAAACCGATTTTCCGTCGCACATACAACTTCGCAGATAAAGTTGCATAGACGCGTGATGCAAGAGAAAAGTAACAGTGGGAGCACTATCGTAGGTCATTAATCATCACTGATGAATAATGACCTACGATAGTGGTTGTCGAAAACGTTCAGATCGTACCAATTTCCCCCACGTCTTCGACTTTGCTAGAGCCGCTAACTCTGGACAAGCAAGAAATTCCTACTCATTCCCAGAAAATCGGATTGGTTGACACCAGAAGTTTTCAGACTTCTTACAATTTTTAAGAGTGGCTGAAATAGGCATCTGCAGCTTTGCAGCGGAGGTTAGTAGTCGCCTCATCTCCTTTTCGCAGATGGCGGAGTGAGGGGGGGGNGGGGGGGGAGGAGTGTGCTTCTTGGAAGGAGCCAAGAGCTACGTTATACCCGCAATAGGCTGCATAAAAAAATCGGTGGTCAGGACAGCACTGGCTTTTCATCTCACACAGAGGAGGTGTTTGAGAGGTCACTCCCCAACAACGTCCGGAGACGCTTGATTAGCGCATGCCATGGAATCAAAACTAGAAGAGCCAGATTTCTCTCGCGATTTTGTGATGGATGTGGACCAGGGCGACTACTGTCTGAGTCCCCCGGGGCTTGATTGAACATCTTCCGTCGTCCCGATGAGCAAAGATCTCCATAAAAACTCTGGGCAGAATGAATGATGCATCTTGTTTTGCTTGGGTAGCTTGGGCAAAAGGGGACATGTAAATTCAATGTCTCTCGAAAGGAACTAGTCAAAACTACCCCAGTCATGCGCCTATAACAAGCCGATGGCAGGCATTCCGAGTTCTGTGTTTCACAGGATACAAAACGATAAGGCCACCCTCATTCAGACGTAATGTTAGAGACTCGGCTAAAATACTGCTTGAACACCGGATTCGTTCCCTTATTTTAGGATAGGTCCCAGACTAGATGATACGGATGATGATTTCCTCGAAGACAGAGCAGAGAATGTACCAGAAAAGACAGTGGTGCTGATATCATTGAGGAAACGTGATTTCTGGGCCTTCTGTAACTGTTGTATTAAATTTCCACAACAATGACCTCCCGGACCGAACCTCAGGCTGTTGCTCTACAGCGTTCCTTGAATCCAGCGCGGTATTTCTTCCTATCCGTTTTACACATTGCATTCCCTTCGTCTTCGCCTAACAAATCTCCATCGGTAAAGAATACCCAAGGTGAATAAGGGTGATTAGGTCTGATTTTAGTGGCGAAGATTTCTCTCACAAGAATCTATTAACTTGCACACCCTCAACGTAGAGCCTAATAAATGAGGCTATATTTATCATCCCGTACTTTTATTTTGAAAGTGTCCATCGATGGTTTGTTCCCTCTAGACGCTAATTTGCTCTGCTAAATCACGGGATTATCATTTGCACACAGTATCAAAAAAGCAAACCTACCGACCTTCATTTCATGAGAAAATTCAAAAACTCTTCTAAATCGAGAGAGCTTTCATAAGAACTTGAGAATAAAATTACCGGTTTTCAGAGGTTACTCTCCGACAGATCGTCGATCGACCATCTCATCCTCCCTTGCATCAGCAGCTGGACTACAATCATGGCCTTACACACTTATCATTACTATACGGTATCGTACCGTAACTCTAACAATGGAATAAAACATTATTCAAAAAAAAACCTGATTGGTGGCCTCTATGTGCCCAAGCAATTTAGCGAACATACAACAGTATCAATAAGTGAAATATTTATTCATTCAATTGCATAACTAATTCCTTCCGTGATGGCAGTATGTAATTTGGCCTTCAATATATGCCGAGTCGGATACGACGGCAAATCAAGGCGATTGAAACACGTATGCGCCCTGGAAAAATCAATATGGCAAATCAATAAATTGATTATCATTCTGGCTATCCCTCAGATGTTCAAACACGCTGACTAATTCACTGAGAAACCACTTTCCACACAAGGAGTACTCAGAACAGGTAGACGGACCCACCTGAAGCGTTTGCACACCCCTCACTGGTGTACACATTGTGAAAGGGGGAGAAGCCCACCAATAGAGAGCCCGCGATGGTTTTGGAAGTAACGCCCCTTCTCGCAAATCACCTACAAGGGTAAAAGGTATTCATGTTTTGGGGTCTCATTCCTCAGCAAGATGTCACTACAACAGATGGCGTGCTGACTTACAACAGAGGGGTAATCGAGAAAAAACGAAATGCAGCTCAGTGCCATCGTCCAAGACATCCAGAGATGGTCCCACGCTTTCCTGGTGAGGATCGTTCGGCAAACAGAAGGCTCGTGTCATCGAGAGAAAACTCGGCCAACTCGTACATAAAACTATTTCTAAGCCCGAGCTTGACTATATAAATAGTATCACAAGTCATCCGCTTGAGGAAATCAGTTTCGAGCGGAGCTATCCACCAATTACCTTCTTAAACTAAACGTTCCGGTCGGCAGAAGGGCTGTCTCGGGTCATTCAATTTTTCCGAGGGTAGAACATTGATATTATCACAAGGAAACAAAATCAAGGCCAATTCTGGATTGCCAAATCTCCCAGCAATTCCTCCTATCAACTGGGATTCATAGACAACCTAGGCTACATCTTTTACACTTCTGTCAGAACTACTACATGTTCCTCATACTAGAACATTATATCGTTTTAAGATGCCATTTCACCTTGGTAGAGCTGATTCTTCACCCCATTTTTCAATTGTAAATCGTTTTGGTCCATTACTTCCACGTAACATCGCAAATCCTTCGAATGGTATACTTGACGTGCCGGTGACAAACTGAAAAATTCTTGTGTGACAAGATGTTCACTTCTTCATCTTTCATAAAATGTCCCGTAAACACTGCAGAGGTTCTTCGACTGCAAATCCATGGAGACCATGCATGCTACACCCAAATGGACGAGTTTTCCTACTCACCTGAAGCAGTTTTAGCCGATCGGCATTTGTCATTTGAGCGACACGATCCCAAAACCATTCGATGACAACGTGCTCATCGAAATAACCACCCTAAAATTGATGGCTGTGGCACTAATTGAGCACAATTATTTTCAAATAATTTCAGAACCATCAAATAGATTGAATATGAATTGAAGCTGGTATTGCTGTCCACCAGCTCTAATGAGTGAAAATGGAATTGAACTCACCCTATACTCCGTATTCTTCCTCCAATCCTCCAGATCTATTTCTCTTGAACCTGACAGGACCAGCTCGACTTGATCGACAGTGAATACTCGCAAAAAATCACGATCGATTATCTGAAAGCCGAATCATTCAGTGCTTATGGGTTTTGTCAAAATACTAATGAGCATTTTGTGGTTCTGATGGAATCACTTTGAGGATACGATAATGGATGATGGCGGACCTGATGCAATCCCCGTAGAAGAGCTCGTGACTGTCGCTGGATGCCTCGTTCAACTCGCCACTTCACCATCAAAGAGATGAACTCCTCTTTGTTGTGGTCAGCCACATCGAGGTCGGCACCGTTCGGAAGAAGCTCCTTCTCAACAACCTGAATGAATGCATTGTATGAGTTCAGCTTTGGAAGCTATGAAAGTAAGGTAACAACCCCAGTGTTCCCACGAGCTTACTGATTGTGACTAAGAAGCAGGAGTGGTAGAACTTCGTTTGGCCCCAGTATTACTTGTGCAGCAATGCCCTACCGGAAGACTAGGGTCACCAGATGTTTTCTGGCATGAAGCTTTACGAGGGTCTACCTGGCCATTCTCTTCCTCAGTGACGACAAACGTCATTCCGAGAGACGGATCAATAGGATTTTCTCGTATCCAGACCATACTGTGATAGAATTCTGGATCGACGTCTTGCAGATCGAGCACTGTAACTGGCCTGGAACATAATTATACAATTGCTTTAACGAAAGCATGCATCAAAATGAAGAAATATTCAACAACTGGGTTGTGCTGTCGAAAGGTAAAATGAAATGCAAAACTCACTGCTCAAGGAGCATTTTGTAGAACGTTCTTGTGAAGAAGGTGTCAATGAGACATCGATGAAGCAGAGCCAGACCGAGAACTCTTCCAGCTAGTTCCATCCTGAAATTCTAATCATAAATGAAACAAAAACGGTAGTGTATTATTCCGTAGTTCCAAAGTTTTCACGATCAGTTGGAAAGTGATAGATTAGGGCATGCCGCTTGTGTGCGAAATGATTCCCTTACCAGAGTTTCGCGCTCAAGCGACAAACCCCTGCTTGTCTGAGAAGGAGCACAGCATTTCTGCCTATGCCGTACAGAATCTAAAACCTGGCTCGCCAAAACCTGCATAGCTTATGCAGCATACATATGAAGTATTTTGAGCAGTCATGCAAAAGCCACCTCAATAAAACCTCGATCGTGAACTCTTTCAGCAAAAATGGTCCTAGAATCACAAGCTACCTCTATTACGACTATGCTCGGGAGTCTTTAGGCAGTAAAGTTTTCTGCACAGTCACAGTTAAGCAGTAATCCGGAAAGCTCTTATTCGTTATTCCGATACCTAGAGGGAAGCTCGTCTGAAGGGAATAATGGTCGACAAGGATTTAACCAAGTTCACGAGGATTTCCTCTGGCGCTAGCCTTCGACCACTATTTTCTTTTCTCTTCTCCTCGTATCTTTTTCCCTCATTTTCTACTCCTATGGTTATACCTGAGAAATCTAGAGAAAAGGTTCGTAATCTATTGGAAGTTTTTTCGATTGGTGCTGAACGAATATTTTACACGATTCTTCATCAAATTTGCCAGGCACTCACCATTGCAGTTCTTGTTGTACAAGATTCGAATGCGGGCTGATCTGTACGGTGTATTGGTCTGGTGCTGAATACTCGAAAAGGCCGTAATACGGATGAAACAGCTCCCGAGACAGCAGATAGAACAGTTCGCGTGACGGACCACCATAGTCCAAACTGGAAGAAGGAAGTTTGAAGGCGGAAATGGAACCGAAAAAATGCTCATAGACATGTCACTGCAATATGTTGAACACAAATTGCTCCTGAATTGTGATTCTGATTGCTTCCTATCACGAAAAGGCCAGAATACTCTGAAGTTTCAAAAGGAAATCGTAAAAACGAACGATATATTCCTTCCAAACAGACTTCTTCATCAGGAAGAAAGCAGTGGTCTTAGGCAGCAGAGTTCTATAGTTTCAAATCATTGAGCATTTAATTCTACTCATGACAGCAGTGTGTAATTGCGAACCAACAGGATATGCAAATCGCTAATCCGTGCCATCTGTTTCATAGTGCAAACTCCCTAATCACCCGTCACATGCATCGTATTGGCAAGAACAAGGTGTGGGAGGTGCGGCAAGTGCAGCATTTGCTCTCGCGAGTAGATTTCGGCAGCACTAGGTGGGCAGGCTTCGTATGTTGAGATCATGATGAAATTCCAGTTTTAAAGNACTCGAGCTCAATCAAGGTGTTCTGAGCCTACCTGTGAAAATTTCGCATTGATATGAACTCGATAAAATAAATTTGTCCATACCAATACTAAGAGACCCTTGAGACAGGGATTCTGGACATCACGTCACATGCATAAATGCCTTATCTGAGCCCTCTCCTTGACCTATTAACGATTTGTTTCTTTTGAATGATTTTTTCGGTAGTAGTGAGAGCCCATACATTCCCCTTCATATCGGCTCCCGTCTAGTTTGTATATTAAAGTAAATATCATCCAAATGTAACTTTCTGTCATTTTCTTCCATAGCGAACACTATCCGAATGCTTCGTCTTAATGACTGGTAGAAATGTGTTCAAAAGTATCGAGGCTTACCCCTCTTCGTCGTCGAACGCTATCGAAAGCCTCGCACGACGTAGCGTGACCGGGTCCGATGCAAGGATCTGGTCGAACGCATCCTGGAGGAGATTGGAACGGCTGAACCGAAATCTGAATTCAAGGAAATTGAAACCAGATTCAAGTCAATAGTTATCAAGCCTTAGTTTTCATCTCTTAGGACCTTCTACCATTCACACCATCTATTCCCAAAGTTTATCGTGAGATTTTTCTTAGCTATCAAGAGTTGAGCATATAATGGAGAATATTCTACACTTAAAAGTAATTCCTTACCCGAGTACTGTACGTGTTTGGAAGCATTTGGCAAGCCTCTACGGTTCTGAATTTATGTAGAGTGCATGACACTTGTATGAGAACTGCTACATGGGTACAATCCTCTTGAGTATATGGGTTTTTACAACCAACCCCTATTAGATTGCATACTTTACTGGGTTGTGAGGGAAGCGCCTGCCGAAAGTTCTGCAGTAGTCCAGATTACGTCCGCAATTTTCTGGAACCGTACATTTGAATTTCGTGTAAGGACGCTACTCACGCATGTGCGCGTAACATATGTGGTTACCTATTCCTTTCCTATTCAAGGATATAATACTCGAATTGTCTACCCATACCTAATCACGTGCTCTTTCACAAGTTCTGATCGGCTACGCCGCTGACGAAGTTAATCTGAATTTTTGTCAAGTGTTCGACCTTTAAGTGCCTCATGAGTGGTCGATGTGCCCCTGGTTCCAACGCCTGAATGCCGGAAACGAAAATCTCGGAGATGAACCCCGCTCCGGTCGACCCGTTGCGATATCGCCAGACGAACTGAAAAAGAACTGGCAGAACAGCATTCATGAAGAGATGTCACTTTCATCCTTCAAAGACGCATAGAGCAATCGACTAGGATCACTCGAAACGATGAATAAGCTCGTTCAGTGACCACCCATGAACTGAGCGACAGCAATCGCCAAGGATGCTCATACATCTCCACTGATCTGCTCTCCCAAAGTTGCACCTTCCACTGCAGGACACCATCGTTCATCAATCACACCAGCAAACCTGCGTGGTGTAATAAATCACCGTAGATTTCCGGAATATTTTGTGGAAAAAGGGAATCCTTGAGAAGAAGGCTGTGCTCAGCATCTGATGAGAGGATCATGGAAGACTATGCCTGGCAGATGACGTGTTGCAGACGGTTGCTACGGAAGTCTGCTGCCATCAACTGCAGAGCAGGCATAAAGCATCCTAAGCAAGATGAAGTTTGCCTACTGCGCGATAATGCGCGCTATCTTATCGCAAAAAAGACTCCCAGAAACTCCTGGGACTCAAATGGGAAGTTATACCGCACCAAACGTTCATTCCGGACCTAGGTCCAAGCAACTGCTGGCACTTCCATTAAATGCAGTACCACAGTGAACAGAAACGCTAAGATGACCATAATCATCTCGAAAATGACATTGGAACCTCACTGCCTCCTAATCATCAGCGTTCTCTACCAGAGGAATCTGTGGCTTTGCGGACGTTGACCGGAATGGTTGATTTTAAGGGGTTACTTTATTGAAAATGAAATAAGATTAGAAAGATATCTTGCTCAGAGAGCTCCGCCCCACCCCCTTCCTATTATTTACTCAACATTACACTGGATCTCCTTAACTCGGAATACTCTCAAGAGCACTTACAATTATCAATAAAAGGTGAGGACTGAACACATGACGAATTCTCTTGCCACAATTGCTTCAATCAAGCAGTAAAACAATCCTTGCTCGCTAAATCGCTAGACTCTTATTGTTGGTTCACCCGTTCACTAAGTGTCCCCCGGTAGAGTTGTTCATTTTTGGAGACAAATGGTCAACTGATGACATCGCCAGACTCACTTCACTTTCTGAGGCCCTTTACCGTATCCACTACGATGAAGCGACGCATAGAAATGATTCAGCTTTTCTTCGAATTCACTCGATCCAGCTGGGTCGTCGGAGTCGAGAATACTGTAAATATCAACGGTATATAGTCGTGATCATGCAGGAGGTTTGTTCGGATGATAATCGACACCGAGCTTTGCTCTTCTGAAGGGTTATCCAGTTTGGATGAGACAAGCAGGCAACCAAACCCGATCTGATCTGCTTCTACTCCCGCCGACAACACGACTATGCACACCACTGGGATGCAACTCACCTTATTGCTGTTATCAAATCGACATCGTTAGCAAGCCTGGCTAGAGCCACAGCTCCGAGTCTTTCGATCAGTCGCAACTTTTTCCTGATCTTTGGTGCCAGCTCGGGCAATCGCTCTTCGACAAGCAACGCTATCTCAGCCGTACGACTTGCCAAATCCAATAGATTCCCGTTTTTGTCCAGCTAAAATTAGCATAATTGGCAGAGGGATTTGAGAATTTGCTGTGATGCGCCATGCACTCTATTCAATCTTTTGAACCGTAGAGGCGATTGAACACATAGTCAACTATAGGATGAAAAGACTCAGATGCGAAGGTGACTATTCAATAGCCCTACACAGGAAACCCTGGTCATCAGGAGGATGAGATCAATCAATGTAGCGATCAATCAGTGCGTAAGACCTGTTTTTTTAGGAATGCTTCCAACTGTTTCATTTTCTCAGAACAATACGATTTTAAATTTGTGAAAAAATCAATTAGTCAACTGTATTACACCGCGGTTCTCCACCTAGGCTAACTCACATTTTGTCGTCGAGCCGGTGGAGCACTTCTTCCCCTTTTGCGATCAACTGTAGGAGCAGGTAGGCGAGGATCGATAAGCGTAGTTCGACGAGCAGCATGATCGATGAAGACTGTCTGTAAGAAGGAATCGGGTTAGCTTATGAAAGGATAAATACTGCTGAACTTGGAACACTACCGCGTACCGGATTCCGCCCACTGGCTTGCCAATTCATCGGCAAAGGTTGAGTGTCATCGGCGAACAGATTGACAAACGCCACAAAATCTCTGGAAATGGAGAAAGTTGGAGTACTCTAGCCATCAAGGGATACCTGTGTACATTCGTAGAATTTGCGAGATGGCGGGGGGGNGGGGGGGGGGGGGGGGAGGGTTGGGGGTAAAGGGTGGGAACGGACCAATCACTAATCCAGTTAGTATCAGAGTGAGAGCGCCTGATTTTTTTTTTGTGCTCAAAGCCAATTTTTCAGAAGATTCTACCTTTTAAAAACAGTATATTCTGGATATTTTCCTTCAAACTTCCAATCAATATCCGTTTTAAGTTCAGTCAGGGCCCCTACGCCTCACTCTTTTGCAATAATCCAAATGAAATCAAAAGCTGTGGGAACTGTATGACTACATCGTGTACTGTTGCAGTACTGCACAACAGCTACACGACACAACCAAGATGATATCGCGTTATTCGCTGAAACCCGACACAATACAAACTGCACGGATTGGATGAATATAACGCGATCAGAAATCGAACTTCCGACCATTTTCACGTCAGCCGCCACCACTGGCATTGCGCCATTGGAGTCAACCACGTTCGTGATTCATCACTTATTGTGGTGAAAGGAACGCGCACACGACTTATCACACAAGCCGCCAATTGTTTTTACAATCAGCTCATTATCAGATAGATTGGAACTAGGCTTTAACTTAGATGTTTATGCTGTTTATTTACACATCTTCTACGTTTATTTATTAACGTTTGTGTTTATTTACCATGCATACAGAAGAGCTTCGCAACATCGAGTCGAAACCGAGAGTTGTCAAAAATGAAAGCTTAGAAGGGTAAACAATCCAAAAAAAATCGAGCGACAGTTAGCTCAGAAGTACACTAACATCCGTTCGAAATGACATTGCAAATTATTGAAATTCGATAGTTTCCAAATTTGGAATTTTCTCAGTCCTAGGTGACTTCAGTAAACTCTACACAGCCCAAATAATCTAATGAGTAATATAGACTATTCAAATAAACTGCCTTATTTGTAAACAACAACAACAATTGCAACGCGCTTACCTGTTATTTTCGTACTTTTCCGTTGGTTCACCACATTTTCTTATACGATGCACGATGTGTTTAACAATCGGCGATGAATTGTAAGCGGCAAGGGCGGTCTGAAGTACAAGGACGTGCAGCACATACATATTGATTGATTGGAGTGGTCAACTTATGAAAGAGCTTGACCTCATTCTCATGCAATATGCTCACAAAATCCGAACGTTGCAGAAAATGAGCAGGGCCATAGGATGGTGTGGACTGCGGTGTTATACCCACCGTTCGTCGAGCCATCGAATACCTGAAATACCTGGTTTGAAGAAACCTTCATTTTCCCGACTATAGAGTGAACTAGTCAAATCGGAAAAACACCTATTTCAATAAAAATCTCCATCTAAAAGTAGGTGCAGGTGGTTTGCGAAGTGGGGAAGGCAAAGTCTGAATGAAAGTCGAAGGCGAGGGCCCAAAAGCCTCATCCTTTATCCTTTGTACGAATTTTAAATTGATTTGAGCACTCATTCGATTCGCCTATACCCTTCCTGGAGGTTCGCTCAAAGCTCCTATCATCTCGAATACCTTCATAATTGACTGTTCATAGTTGCTAGGCCATCAACAAACTTACTTCTTTGTCATTCAACTGCAGCCATACAACTCGGAAGAGTTTGGTTTTCAACAAAGTTCAAGCATACTATCAGCCAGACTTTCACAATTACATAGGTCGGATGATAACCGGTCAAATTTCAAGTGACTCGTTGTCACTTTCCTTCAGTTCTGTTTTTCTGCTTCTCCAAAATTTTGAAATTAAATTCCATGCTCTCACCTTTTCATGTGGTCCACCTCTTTACTATCTGGGGATGGTCGTTGCCAAGTTGTTCTTTTCGTGGTGTGATCAATATAAAATGTTCTGCCCTTCCGATCAGTACAAGCCTCCCAACCTAAATACAGTTGGTTACTCCATAGCTACTTTCATTTGTAAAAATTGAACAGCATAACAATAAAATCTCTAAGGCACTAGTTGACTTACCAGCTGGTAAAGGTGGCAGTTCGTTGAGGTGGGCAGACGAGCTGGACGAAGAGCTGAAATGTATTTACCTCATGATTGGCCCAGAGTAAGATTTTTAGGGGGGGGGGGGGGTAGTTTTTTTTAGTCTAGTTTTTTTTTCCTTGGTTTTATTCCAAAAAAACCTTAGTTTCTTTCATTCAAATGGTAAGTTCATGAAATGGCCCCATGGCATTAACCCACTCCGACTGAAAAGTGATTTTAATCCAAGAGTTGTCCGGAGTCAGGTTGGGTATGGGCTATCTATCGCATATTTTCTGTTATCGTAGACAGTGGAAATCATCCGCTAGCAGTAAGTAGTACTACTCTCACAAAACCATTCATTTTAAGTCTGAATAGCTATGCCATCCTGGTTGCTAGGTTGTACAGTCGGAGAAGAAGACTGGTTCACGCCTACTGGCTCACCTAGTCTGACTCATCGAGCTCCCTGATGATGAAGCCGACACACCAGAGACTCGAATACTCGGGTCATCGGTTCGTTTGCTTTTCGGACGAAGACGAGCCGATCCTAAACGAATTGTTGTTTGAGGCTAGTGAGCACGAGGAAACTAGCTCACTGGAGTCTACGACCTCAACTCGACTGGCGGTTGATGCCGTCCTCATCCTAACTGAAGAAATACTCCAAAATACTCCAGTTCCCGGCGTAAACTTCAAAAAGTTCTATCGATCAAAATCGATATATCCATCTGACATGGTTATATGAACTTCTGCTTGTAGGGGTAGTATCTCGCATATCATTTCACGAATGAAGAAAATCGTAGACTCAAATTCTAACCATAAAGGGCTGGAGCATTTACAGAGACGTTCCATCTCCGATAGAAACCAGAACATGATGTTTCACCATACCAAGTAAAGTTTGTATATGACAAAGTAAATTTAGGAAATATTAACACCCAACCTTCTGTATCCATCGGCTCAATATATACAGAAATCACGGCAGTAAAAGAATGCCGTTGATCCGATTGCACTGCTATGTTAAGATCTCTGAAATATCGATTTATTGATAGGTAAGAAACGAAATGAGATTGATACCTAGAAGAAGAAAACAGTCTCGATAAAGAAATCTTCTGAAGTACGTTAAGCAGGAATCGTTTCCGTGGCCAGGATGGAACAACCTTTACTGTCCATTCACCAGAAGTGCATTCGAAGGGAGAAGCAAGAAGAGAAGGGGTGGTTTCGGGGCCCGTAAATATTTCATAACTGCGTAAACAGGGTGAAGTTTCCAAGGAGAGTGCTCATGTTAACCAAAGTTGGAAGTCGTTTAATCTTCGTTGCTTCTTGGTTGTCATTGTAGGAGTATGTCAACAATTGCGATTGTTCGAGTCTCGTCGGAAATGGAACTGAGACAAGACGACGTTCAAAAACAAGAGTTTGACAACGTCATCAACGACGCATTCAAGTTGAAGTTGGATGGGAGTATACCCAATAGAGCAGTACCCTTCGCTGAAGGGTATGACTAGTGTCGTGCCAAAGCCAAAACGTTCCAAACGAATGGGGCCGTTTCTAATTATAAAGGCTAAGGATTAGCATAGTGCAGCCCGTAGAATGACCTAATGGCGTCCTTACATCCATTCTCATGATGACCCCATGTAACTAACTACGGGGCGTAAGGGCACCATGGCTGAAGGGCACCGGAATTTGCTGTCTAACCGAAGCAGATTCTAGGATTTCTGTCCTCAACACTACTTCGTTCTATCAAGTTTTCCATTATGTTCTTTTTCGTCTTTTTAATCAGGAAAACGATTTTCCAACGCGATAATACTACTAGCTCGAGTTTTCTCCTTTGCTCTTTATCCAGCTTTTTTCCGAAACCAACAACTCACAACCACCTTTCGGGACATAAAAACTCGGTTCAGTACTTCTTGTGGCTACTTTTGACATAGCACTAATAAATGTTTAACGTGAATCAGCTGGTAAATGAGAAAAATGAATATGTGATCAAATAAACAAACAAGTAAGCCAGTGGATGGAGAGATATATATTTGAATGAATACCGGACTACATCAAAGGTTCCACTGAATTGAAGAGGGTTTGTACGGCTCGATTTCGGGCTTCCAGTAGGATTATTATTAGAGTAGCAGAAGCTCTCGCTTACATATTTAGTCAATGACTTACAGATTTCCTAGTAGGCTAGGTAGTATTTTACTATGTTCTAGCTAACATGGCGGGTTCTTGGTGGCTCTCAACCACGAAAAAAACGCGAAAACCCACTTGAGTTATTATGCATGCAATGAGGGGTTCTGAAAAATGTTTTCGCATTAGCGTATGTGAAAGGACGAGACGAAAGGGCAGTTGAGCAGGAAGTGGGCGAGGACCAGAATTGCCACGACATCCCGAATGCGACAAGCGAAGATCCTCCCTGAATACAAGGAGTGGCAACTCATCCATTTGTTTTCGTGTTCCAAGGAGAATTATCAAAAAAGCCCCCAGGAAAACTTGGTTTTGCACTGCGCTTTCAGTGAGAACGGACGAAATCAGTACAAAAATATTAAGTATATTCGGCTTCGAGGTTCTGGTGAAGACGACAAGGTTGAAACGTCACCAGAACAAATCTGTACTGTTCGGTCGTCTTGTTTTGTGGCTTAGGCCACGCGTTTAATTCATATAAGGGTCGTAGTGCTCAAGATTTCTTTCATCTCAAAGAATAACCTCTAACGTTCAAAGAGAAATCGTCAGGATTTCTGAATTCCCGAGTTGAATGAAACGCTCAGCAGGCACAGATTGAGAAATGCTCAGATCACACTTAGTGGGTCCACATTCAGTGACAAAGTCGACTTCATGGAGGTCATTGGAGTTGCTCTATCAGGTAACCAGATAATTCAAGTCACTGAATCAGAATATCGCCATCCAGTCAGAACTACAGCAATGTCTGCAGTAACAAATAAGTGACAGCAGAAGTGATCGGATAAGATTAGGGCTTAATATGGAGCTCTCAAAAAAATGAA